GAGAGAAAATACTGTCAAAGAGAGTTTTCTAACTTGTTGCCACTGTCAATATACTGTGGATGAACAGGCTTGAAGGGAGATGTTGCCTTTCTCTCTTACAGTCACAGACTTCTCCAGCAATTTCGTCTCCATGTTTGGGCTTATTAATGGGACAACAGTATTGCATTGCACTTTGTTCAACAGTTGGAAAGTTGGTGCTGGCCCCCAGTGTCTACCTTAATCAAGTGTTCATCATATACCAGTAACGTATCAGGCACAGTTCAGGTTATAGGTATGAGGGATACAACTGATCAAGAGAGAAAACTGTCTGCATTCCCTTTGCTCCATGCTGGTGGTAAACAGGAAATCTGTACTCATGTTCCCTGTTTCTTAAAAGTCTTAATACTTCTTTGTCATCCTGTCTCCCTGCATACTTTAAGGGAAAAAAAATTGCCCTCTTTTTGGTAGGAAGGACTTAAGCTCAACATGTACAAAATAAAGACATTTTTTAAAAGTTCAATGAAAAAAAATAAAGGTCACAGCACCCAGAAATAATTATGATAGCTCAATATCCTCAAAATTTCTTCATTAACATATACAGATGCAAAGACAGTAGGACAGATAAATAATTTAGCAAAAATGAAATCCCACAATATTTTAGGAAAGCATTTTGACTTTAATTTTTTGTGTGAAAAGAACATTTGCCCAATATGAAAATAAGTTAGGCAATACAGGAAAATACAATCATATCCCTTACATATTTGGTTAATTGAATTGCAGATATTTTTGTGATCTTAAAGAAACATATGGCTAGAAGGATAAACTGACAATCTTAGATATTTTTATAGAACTGTTTTCATACTCCTCACGCTGTTTTGAAGTGTGTGTGTGTGTGTGTGTGTGTATATATATATATTTAATATAGCAGAAGGAAGAGCATCTACTCTGTAACTAAAATCCTTATTCTAATTCAGAATCTTTTTTTTAAGTAGTATCAAATTAGGTTCTTAAAGGAGTCCCTTTGATGTAAGAATAATTTTTTATTATATTTAGAGATTATAGCCATTATAGTTTTAAACATTGTGCCTTATGTTCACAGAGTATCATTTGGGTCCCAAAAATTGATGGATGAGAAAATTTGCACACTTCAAAGGCCTACTTCTTTTCAAGATTTAAGGAGGTTAGCTTCAGAATTTAAACCATTTGGCCAATAAGCCAGTTGTGTGCTCAATGGTCATTGCTCATTTCCTTGCTGACCCTATACTGATTCTCAGGCAGTGCAGATATCAGAGAACATGGTCCTTGCTATGAGCTAGGGGAGATTAAACCATGACTAATCTAAGCCAAGCATTCAATCTCCTCTTCTTTGTTAGTAAGTGGATTAAGGACTTCCATTTGACTCAATCTTGGCCAAAGCAATACAATCAATCTGCTGAGAGGAAGTCTTTCTGGAAAAGATTTTTCTTCTTGATAAAAAGGGGAAAGACAAAAAAAGAGTTTTCTCTTGTTTCTTTATTGGTTTTAGACATTGTTATGTCAGAAAATTTTCTCACTACAACAAAATCTGAAAATGACTCATATACTGTATTGCCAAAAAACTTCTATTCCGCTTTCATTTTTAAATTTAAGGTGATTTCAGAATTAAAAATTCTATTTTTATCCTACTCTTGTCTTATCTTAATTTTTGTAAGATGCCATACATTATGATGACTCTTGCTGTTCTTTTTACCTGAATGACTTATCTTTTTTCCCCTACTAATTTTAGTTTTTCAAGCCTAGTGTCTATATTACCTTTATGATAACGTCTCTTTTACTTACATTTTGACAAATTTTTTTTTGTTTATTTACCCATAGAGTTAAGTTTGTAAAACTACCACCCCTGCGTATCTCACATGGTAATTAATGATCACTAGATCTCATGGTTGAAGGGGATATTAATTCCCTTCAGTGACAGTGGTTCAATATCATAATAATTATTCCCAATAGAGTATTCACAGTTGAGAATTCCATAGGAGACAATAATGTGTCCTTCATAAAAAAAAAAGAGGGAGGGAGGAAGGAAGGAAATAAAGAAAATAAAGAGAGAAGAAAGAAAGAAAGAAGAAAGAGAAAGAAGAGAAAGAAAGAGAAAAGAAAGAAAAAGAGAAAAAGAAAGAAAGAAAGAAAGAAAAGAAAGAAAGAAAGAAAGAAAAGGAAGAAAGGAAGGAGGAAGGAAGGGGAGAGAGAGAAAGAAAGAAAGAAAGAAAGAAAGAGAGAGAGAGAGAGAGAAAGAAGGAAAAGAGAGAAAAAAAAAGTCCTCCTTCAACAATCCTGGTAACTTTCCTTCCTGGTGATAGAAGGGAGATATGTTTATCTTTTGTCTTGAATCATTGGGTCATTGGTGTAAGCTACACTTGTACATAGAGTTAGTATTGTATTGAGAATATGGGCTCTCTCTGTCTCTCTGTCATGTGTAGACACAGTGGGAAGACATCCTCTGAAAGCCTGAAGAAAGTCCTCACTAGAGCTCGACAATGCTTGGCACCTGATCTTGGACATAAACTTCTATTCTTTGACAACAAGACAATACAAGCTCTGGAGCCAGAGAACCTATTTTTTAAAACTCTATATTTTCCATTGATTATGCTAACTCAATGACTCAGGGTAAGTTACTCAACCTCTGTGTTCTTCGATCTTCTCACGTGCAAAATAGAAATTATTAATAAATAGAACACAAAAGTGCATCTCTCTCCCCCTAACTTGCTTGCTCCTTGGTTTCAGGAAGAATGTGGATGGGCTTACACTTTCCTGGGGATACCTACTGTTCATCTGTCAACAGATAATTATTGAGAATCTTCTCTGTACCTAGTTCTGCTCTAGATACTAGAGACACATCTATAATAAGACAAAATTGATGTGTACAGTGATCTTGTATATTACTGATTGTAAACTGACAAAACACATATGAAAAAAATATATAAAAAGAAAAACTTCAAGTACTTAATAATGCCGTAAAAAGATAGACTGAAGAGCTATGATTGAAAGTCACCTAGTCAAGACAATGCATGAGACTCTGAAATATGCTGGTCTTTGGGGAGGTACTGCTTGAGAGCCAATAAATTAGAAGGTCTTCCAGGAGAAGATTTTGTGGCTTGTCTTTTTACTTTTTATGCCCTGTTTTGATTAACATAAATTCTTAATTTCAACCCAGTCACATATACCAATATTTTTATTTAACGCAACTTAAAGATTTTATAATATCAGATATTATTTAACAATAGCAATTTTATGTATTGTTTTAAAAATCCTTCTCTTGTATCTCTTCTAGAAGCTCTAGAGTTCTGCCTTTGACACTTAAATCTTGAATACACTGGAAGTTGAATTTTCTGCATGATTTGAATATCTTTATAAAGACTTGGTTATCCCAACACCATTTACTTCAAAGCTTTTTCATTCCCCAGTGATAAGCCATGCAACACCTCTCATATAGCAAGTTCTAATAAAAGCAAATACATGATAATTTGCTTTCTATACTGTTTGGTTTGTTTATATTGGTCTATCTGTGTATAAATATCACACTGTTCTACTTACTAGCATTACATAGTGTGTTTTGATATCTGGAGGAACAAATCCTCCCACGTTGTACCCTTTCTCTTTTAATAGGGTTTGAGCTAGCCTTGGTCCTCTGAATTTTAAGATTAGTTGGTTGAGTTCTGCACACATCCACACACCCTGCTGGGATACTGAATTGGGATTGTATAAGGAGATTGAATCTTTGTAATACTATGTTTTTCAGTCTAGGAACTTGGCATCCCACACATTCTATATCTATTTATTTACCATAGCCTCTCAATAAATTTTCAATTGTCTCTTTAGAGTTTTTGTATACTCTTTGTTATTATTCCTAAGCATTTCAGAATTAAATCCTGTTGTAGTGTGGTAGCATTTTTTCAAGTTTCATTTTAATTGTTTGTTATTGCTTTAAAAATATAATAGATTTTCATATTGATTTTGTATCAAGCAACTTTAAAATTTATTATAATTCTTTTGAATTTCCTACATATGCAGTAATGTCATTCGTATGTAATTACAATTTGCTGCTTCTTTCTCAAATGTGTGTGTGCGTGTGTGTGCATGCATGGGTGTATTTGCTCTTTTTGTCTAACTGTACTGCTTGGGATCTCTAGTAAAAAGTTAAGAAAAACCAGTGATTTCTTTTTGTGTCTGATTCTTTATCTGAAAAGGACAGATGCTAACATTCCACCATTAACCATGACGTCTGCTTTGTTTTTATTTTTGTTTTGTTTTTTGGTAGATTCTGTTTAAAAAGTCTTACTGCTATATTAGCTTATAAAGAATTGATCTTAAATCTTGTCAGACACTTTCTTGGATCTACTGAGATGTTCATATGAAATATATCCTTTAATTTGTTAACGTGGCAAGTTATTTTTGTTGTTTGTTTTAATGCTAAATTATTGCTGCATTTTAAGGGTATACATAGTTTCATTATAATACATCCTTAGTTCATTCTGCTGGACTTATTTTATTAATATTTTCTTTAAGAGGTTTGCATCTATATTCACAAGTAGGATTAGATTGTGATTTTCTGTTTCATAAGTTTATCTCAGGTTTGGTATCAATGACTTAAATAGTAAAAGTAATTAGTTTCTCTTTCTCTTTTCTTTTCTTTTCTTTTTTTTTTTTTTATAAGTTTATCTCAGGTTTGGTATCAATGACTTAAATAGTAAAAGTAATTAGTTTCTCTTTCTCTTTTCTTTTCTTTTCTTTTTTTTTTTTTTTGAGATGGAGTCTTGCTCTGTCACCCAGGCTGGAGTGCAGTGGTACAATCTCGGCTCTCTGCAACCTCCACTTCCCGGGTTCAAGCGATTCTCCTGCCTCAGCCTCCCAAGTAGAGCTGGGATTACAGGCGCCCACCAGCATGCCTGGCTAATTTTTGTATTTTTAATGAGATGGTGTTTTGCCATGTTGGCTAGGCTGGTCTCGAACTCCTGACCTCAGGTAATCTGCCCGGGTCAGCCTCCCAAAGTGCAGGGATTACAGGCGTGAACCACCACACCCAGCCAGTTTCTCTTTTTATAAGAAGTCCAAAGATAAACAGTACTGGGTGTGAGTAAATTAAAGAACTAAAAAGAATTTCCAGGACCCAGGGTCGTGAGAACCATGCTTACACACTCAGGATACCCCAAATGATTCTTCACATTGATCTCTGTTTCCAGAGAACTCTCTTTAGAGCCCCTTTCACCTCTGCATTCCTAAGGCTGTAGATGAGGGGGTTCAGCATCGGGTTGAAAAGGCTGTAAAACAGGGAAAGGATCTTCCTCTGTTCTTGAGAATGGCTTGACCTTGGGGCCATGTACATGACGATGGCGCTGCCAAAGAAGAGCCCCACTACGCAGAGATGGGAGGAGCAGGTGGAGAAGGCCTTTCTGCGGCCCTCCCCAGACTGGATCCTCAAGATGGCCGCCAGGATGCGCAAGTAGGAGACCAGCACGAGGCAGAGCGGCCCCACTAAGACTAACACAGAATCCGCAAAGAGGACCGCCTGGTTGAGCCCAGTGTCAGCACAGGCCAATTTGAACACGGACATGATTTGACAGAAAAAGTGATCGATCTTTTGTGGGCCACAAAAAGGCAGCCTCAGAATAAGAGTGATATGGACTAGAGCCAAGAGAAAGCTAAATATCCAGCAAGTTGAGGCCAGGACAGTGCACACTCTCCAGTTCATAATGAGGGTGTATTGCAAGGGATGACAGATTGCCACATACCGATCACAGCACATCACCACCAAAATCAGACACTCCGTAATAGCAAACGCCAAATACAAAAAAGTCTGAAGTATGCAAGGAGCAAAGGAGATGACTTTTTTGTGCATCACAAGATTTGCTAGCATCTTAGGGACAGTGCTCGAGGCATAGGACATGTCCACGATGGCCAGGTGTGACAGGAAGACATACATGGGTGTGTGCAGTCTTGAGTCCAGGCAGATGAGCCCCAGGATAATCCCATTTCCCATCAGGGTGAAGCTGTAGAATAGCAAGAAAAACCCAAAGAGGAACAACTCCAGAGCCGGGTCCACCTGGAATCCCAGCAGGACGACTTCTGTGATCCAGGTCCGATTGCTTTCCATGTTCTCGTGACAAAAAAAAATTCCTGTGATGTACTTAAGACAGAAATTTCACAGCTGATGGGAGAAAATAAAAAACATTTCATTATAGAGCATGAATTTTATGCCAGAGGCCACAAATCAGTATTTCATGGCTCCATCCAGCCCAAAGTCCTCTGATGTTGACTCACAAATTTGGCTTTTAGAGATATTTAAAATCTGTAGTTATTGATTAATATTAAAAACTAGGAGATTTCATGTTAAAATTGGTATCTCTAGCTTCTTTTGAGAAAAATAGATTTGTCATTTCGTGATATTCATTGAAAGCAACAATCAGCTAAATATAATGAGGCAATAGATAGAGGCCGGTCCTCTTTCATGTACCACTGTTTTCACCAATCTTTATTTTATCCCAGAAGTTGAGCTCAGTGACATGAACAATTTTATCATTGTACCTACACTACTGATGACATATTTACATAAGAAGAGAGTGAAGATTTTTGCTCAAGATGGGTTTCCAATTTCTCCTCTACTTCAAATACATGGATATGAAAGATAAAATACAAAATGCAAACCCCAAAGAGTTTAAAATGTGACAACTCCTTCATACACCAGAAATGAATCAGAAACATAATATGCTCCAAGTCTGGAAGCAGAGAGTAATACCGGGAACTTAGCTTTTATGGGGTTAAGGCAAGTTGTTGCGAGATGTGGTACTGATGTGATTGATTGAAGCTAAGGGGTTGGATGGGGGCCATGAAAGAAGTTTTAAAACAAATATTGGGTTGCTGGATAAAGTGACATTCAAGAAGTCAATATGCTTGCCAGTTCTATAATTTGATCAACAGAACCTGAGAAAGTGTTACAAGACCTGATTTTTATAAGGGGCCCTTGGAGCCAGGAGAAGAACAACAAAATCTAAAGACCACAAGAGGGAGAAACAAGATAGAAAAATCAAGTAATAATAATAATGATAATAATAATGACAATAATAAAAATAAAAACTCCTCCACTCAAAATTTGCCTAACATGTTTATTTTAAAACACAAATTTAACACCAAAAAGGTAAAACAAAGTAAATAATTAGAACCTTAAATTCATTGAAGATCCAATTATATGTATAGAACAATCTTCCAAAGACTTATTAATATAAGGATGATCAGGATGCTTTAATACATTAATGGAGACATAATATTTTCTAAAATGACATATAAATTAAGAAAAATAAAATAGCCATGAAAATACAATTAGTGTATAAAAACAAATCAGTTATAGACTTTTGCAGTAAGAAATATAACACACAATTTTAAAAACAATAAAGAGGATAATGTCCACACCTACCATTAAAGAGAAGAAATTGTGTATTGTAAGATGTCATGAAGGAATCTACCCAGAATTTTAATACAGACAGGCAAAAGGATAACATTTTGAAAGCACAGCTTAGAGACATAAATGATTGAGAGACTAAATTTAGATAGGATAGTTTCCTAAGCAAAAGAATGAAGAAAATGGGAAGAAACAATTTTGAAAAGATTTCACCAAAAATGTTCCAGAATTGAAAATAATTTGTCTTTAAATCACTAATAAAATGCATTCCACTTAATGAATATAATAAAGGTAAATTTATACTCAAGCAAATTGAAATTTTTGTAACTGAAGATGACCCGAGTCTTTAGATCAAAAATGAACCCTGAGAACAAAATAGAATAAATAAAAAATAAATTCGCAATAAATGTAAATGACCAAAAATTTTCTCGGATGACTATCTTTCCTCCATACTCTACATTTCACTGTGTGTAGACTTCCTGGAATTTCTATTGGATCAATATTATCATTTATCAATATATCTTGTATGTCTCTTACCTGTTCTTTAAGATATTTTTTCTTTCTTTCACTCTTCACCGTGTTCTTGACATTTTTTTCAAAACAAAATTCACAAAGAATACAAAATTTAGAATGTATTTCCTACAAAAGAACTGCAAAATCCATTTTTTCATTACTCATTTACTACTCAGACTAAAGAATTGCAAAATTTAAATAGAAAAAATTCCTTAATTTGAAAAAGAGTACCCGTAAAACCTACAGAATCAACATACAAAAATCACTAGAATTTCTATACACCACCAACAGTCAAGCCAAGAGCCAAATTGGGAATGCAATCCCATTCACAACTGCCACAATAAAATAGAATACGTAGGAATACAGCTAACCAGGGAGGTGAAAGGTCTCAACAATGAGAACTACAAAACACTGTTCAAAGAAATCAGAGATGACACAAACAAATGGAAAAACATTCCATGCTCATTGATAGAAAGAATCACTATTGTTAAAATGGCCATACTGCCTAATGCTATTCCTATCAAACTACCAATGATATTCTTCACAGAACTAGAGAAAACTATTTTTAAACTCATATGAAACAAAAAAAAAGAGCCCAAATAGCCAAGGCATCCCTAAGCAAAAAGAACACAGCTGGAGGCATCATGCTATTTGACTTCAAACTATACTTCAGGGCTACAGTAACCAAAACAGCATAGTACTGGTACAAGAACAGACATATGGACAAATGGAAGAGAATAGAGAACCCAGAAATAAGGCCTTACACCTACAACCATCTGATCTTCAACAAAGCTGACTGAAAACAGCAATGGGGAAAGGACTCCCTATTCAATAAATGGTGCTGGGAGAACTGGCTAGCCATATGCAGATGATTGAAACTGGGCCCCTTCCTTACACCATATGCAGAAATCAACTGACAATGGATTAAAGACTTAAATGTAAAACCCAAAGCAATAAAAACCTTTCAAGACAAAATCTAGGTGATACCGTTCTGGACAAAGAAACGGACAGAAATTTCATGATGAAGACACCAAAAGTGATTGCAATAAAAGCAAAAATTTACATATGGGATCTAATTAACTAAAGAGTTCTGCACAGTAAAGGAAATTATCAACAAAGCAGACAGACAATCTACAGAATGGGAGAAATTATTTGCAAACTATACATCTGACAAAGGTCTAATATCCAGCATCTATAAGGAACTTAAACAAATTTACAAAAAAAAAAAAAATCCCATTAAAAAGTAAGCGAACGGTATGAACAGACACTTCAAAATGAAACATGCAAGCAGGCAACAAACGTATGAAAAAATGCTCATCATCACTAATCATCAGATAAATGCAAATCAAAACCACAATGAGATACCATCTCACATCAGTCAGAAGGGCTACTGTTAAAAAGTGAAAACGTAACAGATGCTGGTAAGGCTGCAGAGAGAAAAGGGAACACTTAAACACTGTTGGTGGGAAAGTAAACTAGTTCAACCACTGCAGAAAGCAGTTTGGAGTTTCTTTTCTTTTTCTTTCTTTTTTTTTTTAATTTTTCTTTTTATTTTTTTGACACGGAGTCTTGTTCTGTTGCCCAGACTGGAGTGCAATGGCACAATCTTGGCTCACTGCAACCTCCGCCTCCCAAGTTCAAGTGATTCCCTTGCCCCAGCCTCCCAAGTAGCTGGGATTACAGGCACATGCCATCACACCTGGCTAATTTTTGTATTTTAAGTAGAGACAGGGTTTCACCATGTTGACCAGGATGGTCTTGAACTCCTGACATCAAATGATCTGCCCGCCTCGGCCTCCCAAAACGCTGGGATTACAGGCATGAGCCACTGCACCCAGCCCTGGAGATTTCTCAAAGAACTAAAAATAGAATTACTATTTGACTCAGCAATCCCATTGCTGGGTATACACCCAAAGGAATATAAATCATTCCATTATAAAGACACATAAACACATACATTTACTGCAGCACTACTCATAATAGTAAAGACATGGAATCAACCTAAATATTAAAAACTGGTAGACTAGATAGAGAAAATGTAGTACATATACACCATGGAATACTATGCAGCCATGAAAAAGAATGAGATCATGTCATTTGTAGGAACATGGATGGAGCTAAAGGTCTTTATCCTGAGGAAACTAACACAGGATCAGAAAATCAAATACCACATATTCTCATTTATACATGGGAGATAAATGATAAGAACACATGGACACATAGAGCGGAAAAACAGGCACTGGGGCCCATCAGAAGGCAGAAGGTGAAAGGAGGGAGAGAATCATGAAAAACAATTAATGGGTACTAGGCTTAATACCTGAGTGATGAAATAGTATGTACCACAAACCCCATGACATGAGTTTACCTGTGTAACAAACCTGTACATGTACACCTGAACTTAAAACTTAAAAAAAGAAAAAGAGTATCCATAAAACCTACAGAATTTATTCTGTGACTGACATCAGTTTAAAATTTATCTCATCTTACTAATTATTTAAAATTTAAAAACTTTGTTTTCCTTAGATTTTTAAGTTGATACACATATGTATGTATACATAAATATATATTTATATATATGTGTATAATACATATATGCACATATTTCTTGGTTCATTATAGTGCCTTTTTGTTTCATAACCTTTTTGATTTTTAATAGAAACTATAATTTTATTTGTCTCTTCAAGTCTTTGTTATAGTCTCTTAAAATTTAATTTTTCTAGTATTAAGAGGTAATATTACAAATTATCAAAGGTAAAAGACAATGATCTAATAAGAGCAACAATGCCACTGACAGAGACTTCTCATCAACAAGAAGAGTTCAGAAGATAATGAGCTACTGTTGTTACTGTACCAAGAAGGGGAGAAGCTGTCATTCCACAATTTTATATCTGCAATAACTCTCTTGAATGAATGAGAGCAAAGTAAGCTATTATTGGATATACAAATCAGAAGGGTACTGAGGACCTACAGATCCTCAGTATACCACTATATTCCTCAATAAGAACAAAAGTGAACCCAGAGGTAAATCGAATATATGAAAACAATATTTACACATAATTTCAAATAGAATATCTTAGTAAATTTTATAAACAACGGGCTATAAAACGATTATTTTGGTGTTTTGAAAGGGTAAAATTAAACCTTTTGGAAATAAGTAAACAGAGGGAGATGTGTGATAAGTAAAGAATGCTAAGATTCTTGATGAAAATTGAAACTAGGACTGACTTTAGATTTGTTAAAATAATGTATTAAATTTGTATGTTAGCAATTAATAAGAATCATAAAAAATAAACAAAATATATGGTTTCCAAAATTACAAAGTAAATAAAAGAAATTTGAAAGCATTATCAATCCAACAGCAGGCCAAAAAAGAAAAAAAAAAGCAAAAAAATTTTTTTTTTTGGCAAATAGAAAACACAAAATAAGGAAGTATAAATAAGTCTGTGTATATGGATTATCACATTATATGTAATTATAGGGCATTAAAAGACAGAGTTAGGCACTTTAGATGAAAAACAGAAAATCAAGTTTCAAAATCTTTAAGTGTCACACCTAAACCCCTTAAACATAAATTCTCTTTTTTCTGTCTAATGCACACAAACACACAGATGCATACACACACAAACTCATGCGCACACACACGCACACCCCTACACAGAAATTAAAAATAAAATAATGAAAAACATGTTGTAGAAACTGGTAGTAGCAATTTTGTTATCACTTCCCAGCATGCATAAGCATGTAGGTGATATTATACAATAATAATGAAAAGAAAAATCCACAAAGAGTAAACAATTCAGAATTTATATCCTATGAAAAGACTGCAAGATTCAAAGAGAAAAAAACCCTTCCAGAATCTGAAAAAGAATATCCATAAAACCATCAGAAACATTATACTTAATGGTGAATGTTTAAAAGCTTTCCCCCTGCATTAGAATATAAGATGCTCCTCTAATACCACCTCTATTTAATGTTGATTCATAAAGTAGCCAGTGATAACACCAAAAGAAAGAGTAAGAGGCATAAGAATTAAAATGAAGAATACCAAATGTCATTATTTACAACACCAAGATTTTCTTTGTAGAAAAATTTTAAACCCAATAAATGAACTATTGAAATTAATGTATATTTACAAAAACTTCTGGATTCAAGGTCAACGTACAAAATAAATAAGATATGTA